CCTCCCCCTGAACAGAGCTTTTCAATGTTCTTCTCTGATCAGCGTTGTCTGATCACTTGGGTTAGTATGGACACTGCAAATGAGAGACAGACATAAAATCACTTTAATTAACAGATATTTCTCTTAGATTCCCCTGCAGTGAAGATGATTACAATGAAATATTGATAATGTTCTTCCAACGATGCAAAATTGTCATGATATTTTAAGGAAGTCTTTAAAACTGAGACTTTTCCCTGACCAAACAGGTAAAATATTTTATAGCTAAAGATTCAAATCCTTTGTTGATTTTGTTATGAAATAATTATGAGACTTTATGAGAAAAAAATCTTTCAAATCACCTCATAGAATTAGGTCATAGCTAATTAAGACTAGATTTATCAGTAACAGCAAACTTGGGAGGCAATGACTTTTAAATTTATATTATAACCACAATTTCTGAACAATCTGTGAGAGGAGTAACAAAAGAAATAAGTGAGGCATATTTTACACAAACAAATATTGATTTAAAAATGTCAATACCAGGCTCCCTTTCATACTGTTTATGGATTTTTCTGTATGTCATTTCCTCCTTCTCACAAGTGTTCATGTATTCAAATCAGAAAACATATAGAAGAACAGCAATTGACAAGATCTCCCTTACATACCATATGAGTAGGCTTAAACAACAACGACAACACCCTGCTTTCATAGATCCAAAGTACTAGCTAGAGTTGACAAATAATGGAACTAATTTATTATCTATCAGTGCTAATAAGCACGTTAAAGCTGTGCAAAGAAACTACAAGCATGTGAAGCCATGCTGGAAGCACTAAGTGAGAATTACGTCATAGGGCTTCTGTGTCCACTGGCTTAGCTGGCTGTTAGTGGCCATGTTCCCTGCTCTACATCATTATTCTGAATGCATTATTCTGACTGCATCCATTCTTCCAAAAAGAAACAGTATACCACAGTCAAAAGGGCAAGTCATGGAAGGTCTAGATTCAAGCCTGACTTTAGTCATTTTTTTTTGTCATCTCAACATTACTTCATGTAAAGAATGAAGTGATCTATTTTAATTTGTAAGTGGAAAGCCTTAAATATATTTAATTTCCAGAAAAATCCATCCACTTGTTCATCTTTTCAATAATATACTCACCAAGCATATGGATTTAGGTAGATGTGATTTCTGCTGTTAAGGGTCTTCATGTGAGAAATAAGCAAGCAATGTAACACGTTTTATTATAAGAGAAAGTGAAAAATGACCATTACTTGGCATAACTGGGAATATTCTCCCTTCGTTTTCTCTGTGACTGTCACACCAGCACAATCTTTCTCTCTCCCATCTACTGAAAAACAATAAAAGGTCTTAGGAAGTAAAGACCCTTGGGAGAAAGCTTGTGGAGCTTTTTTTTTCTTTTTTCAGGGATTAATGGTAGAATTAGAAAGAGAAGAAGTGCTAATTCAAGAAAAGAATGAGGAAGGACTGGAAAGGCATGGAGAGCCTCTTTCCCTGTGTTCCCATGGAAACAGTGTAGTCTTCTATTGTTAGGCCTGTAGACTATCCTTAAGAAAGGATACAGGAAAGGGGGGTCAAAACTCTATGGATAAGAGCAGAACTGAATAGAATTAGGGAGAAATGCATCACTGTCACATTAAACTCATGATTATATCTTTCTTCTCCTGTAATTTAAGAGATATTTGCAAGGACTTTTCTGATAATTTCTCACTAAACATATGAGTGCCTCCTCTCTCTTGCTCTCTTTCCCTTGTCCCGTGTGTGTGTGTGTGTGTGTGTGTGTGTGTGTGTGTGTGTGTGTGCATACGTACACGTACTTACATTTACATTGGTACGCTTAACTGTGGAGACCCTAGCATTGAAATTCATATTTTGCTTTTAAAGACTTTCCAACAACTTAAAAAATACTAACAGGAATGATTATTCAAACACTTAAGGCGTTACATCTTATCTTCATTTATACGTACATCTTTTTTCTAAGACACAAATTTAGAAAATAAAGCACCAGTTGACAAACGTCAACCATTAGAAAGCACAGTTTTTACAAAGGAACTTAGTAAACTCTCATCATCTTCAATGCCTCTCATGTGGGTAACAGTTGAAAATTATCTTCCTGCTGTTTTCAGTCTTCACCCATCCTGCAGACCCTTCCAGCTGCTTCCTGGACAGCCACCTTTGAAGATTCCACTGGGGCACGCATGTCTCTTATTATATTCCTTTTTCTTCCAAGCTTGATTCTTATTCTGGGTTTTACTTACTTATTTATTTTGGAAATCCATTGCTCAAGTACCTTAGGAGTGTTTTTAATTAGTCTCTGTCCCCTTTGATGCGGAGCTCGCATCCGTGTCCTCATCCCATTTCTACCTGAGGTACTTCCACTGTGTCTTAGTCTTTCCTTTACTGCCTCTGTCTCACAGTTTCCATGAAACCACTGCAACTGTGTTCTCGATCTTCTGTCTCGGGATGGTCAGCTGTGACTGCCAGTGCCTGCTCTGATTGTGTCATCCCTAAGCCTAAATCTTCCGTTCTATACAGTGTTGGTTCTCAACATAATGTTTTGCATCCAACTACATACTTACATTAACAACAAGCGATACATTTATTAAAATACTTATTTTCCTTAAAAAAACTGAGATGACGTAAAGTTGATGTATACTAATATCATTCTCATTTTTCTGAATTCTAGAAGGCTAGAATTATATATAAGTCACTCACATAAATGCCTTACTATACTGATATAGTTCATATATCAAGGGCAAGACCACTTGTCTAGTGCTCCAATTATAAGCATTCTAACATGTGTAATCAAACCAACACTTCAACTTTCTTACCTATCTCCACACTTGGCATTTCTGGATTTCTCTTCTTTTGATTTTGGCAGTGATGATGTGCAGACTGCTACCACAGCAGGTTCCTCCCAGTGGGACTGATATTTCTACAGAAATTCTCCATTTTGGTTCTTTTCAAACATTTTATAGAAAACAAACAAGTCAATAGTTGGTTTGGAACTGATTCCTTAGTGTGACCAACTTGGGCCAATGTGTTCAGTCACTCACTTGGAAATGTAGAGAGACTCCTATCTATATTATCTTAGCTATATCAAAATTAAAGCAAATAGAGTCTCATTTTTTTTTCTTTTTCTTACACTAAAAATCAAACCGTAAATTGTAACTTTAAAAAAACTTCCTGTGCTGGGAACATAGTAAGGAATCAGGCTCTTTAAGAATCATATTTTTTTTATTTTATAATTAATTTAATTTTACATATCAACCACAGATTCCACTGTCCTCCCTCCTCCCACCCCCCAGCCTTCCCCGCCAATCTTCCTCCCATTCCCACCTCCTCCAGTGCAAGGTCTTCCCTGGGGATTCAGTTTGGCCTGGTAGATTCAGTTGAGGCAGGTCCAGTCCCCTCCTCCCTACACCAAGGCTGAGCAAAATGTCTCAGCATAGGCCCTAGGTTCCAGAAACCTAGCTCATGCACTAAGGACAGGTCCTGGTCCCACTGCCTGGGGGCCTCCTAAATAGTTCAAGCTAAGCAACTATCTCACTTATCCAGAGGGCCTGATTCAGTTCCATGGGGGCTCCTCAGCTATTGGGGAACTGCAAATCAAAACGACTCTGAGATACCATCTTACACCCGTCAGAATGGCTAAGATCAAAAACACTGAAGACAGCATATGATGGAGAGGATGTGGAGCTAGGGGAACACTCCTACATTGTTGGTGGGGATGCAAACTTGTACAAACACTTTGGAAATCCACAAAGAATCGTATTTTGAAGTCTATTAAACACCTTTCATCACACAGATGTGTTATAAAACTGACTAATAACTCTAATTAAACATCTTCTTCCCAGATACACATAGTTCTGCAAACCATTTTTCTAAAGCATTTATTTTGCTTGTAGGTCTTCTGTTTGTTTAAGACAACTTCTTACACACTATTGGGGGATGGGATAGATCAAAAGAAATGAAGTACATTTTTCTTTCTTAATATATTCTAATAAGTTAACAAAGCAACTTACAAATTTATACTTTAATATTTATATGTAGAAATGCTTAGCAAAATCAGCATCTTGGTGTCATGGGTGTCCCTCCTGGGGTATCAAGATACTGTAGAATGCCATAGAATGTCTCTTCACTTTTGGGAAGTCTATGACTAAGTTGTGACTAATAACCAACCTCAATGACTGCAGTGCCCCTTCCCTATTCATTTCCCACAAGATAAATTGCACCTACTGTAACAAGGGTGGAAGACAAATTACACATATTGCAAATTCCTGTGAGAAATGCCCTTTTGTCTAGCAATTACGTATGTTTGCTGCTTGAAATTTCTTTTATAGAATAGAGAACTAGCTTACCTTTTGTTGCTAAATAAGGTTAAGGATATAGTGATTCAATGTTAGTTCTGACTCTACCTCAGAACTCAATAATGTAACTGGATATCATATGGGGACCTTCGCTTTTGCTCTAGACAAGGTAATAGTAGAGTGTATTTACACATTGAAATGATTGCCTGATAATTCTTCCTAAGTCTGTGAATTGGACCATCTGCATTTTCCCCAAACCAAGAAAGCTAGATGAACCCAGCTTTCAAGTTTACTTAGAATTATGTAGCAATATTGATACATCACATTTGCTAGGAAATAATAAGTAGTGCATTTAATACCTAGATATGTTTATTATTTTCTTGATAAAGCAATGAGGTAATAGAAAAATATTCCTTAACCATTTCTGTTAATGTCCTGCCCCATTTGATGCATTATAATAGAAATAAACAAAATGAGAGCCAAGCCAAAGAAATGTCATTTCTTAATTTCTGTAGGTCAACAAACACAAATGTAGTGGATATCTGTTCTACCTATGACCCTGAGGTACAGCCCTTTGAGATGTAGCAGGTAACTCTTCTACCTATAACCTTGAAGTACCTGACCCTGGGGCATGGCCAGGGGGCCACCCTGAAGACCTGAGAGGCATGTACACTGCTCTGCTCTTTCTCCCTCAGATGGAGAGAGCATGGGCTCGGATGGTATGGACTGACTCAGGCGACAGAACAGCGTGGGACAGTACCTCAGCCTTCCAGGACCCTGCAAAAATTCTCCTATTCTGTCTAGTGAGTCTTCTTTCCTAATAAATTTCTTTTACCCTTTAAGCATACTCCCGTGGATTTCTCACATTATCTGTCATTCCGACATGGGACAAGAATTTCCACCTAAAACCCGAAGAAGTTTTAAAAAAGGGTTCTAAAACAGAGCCAAGAGCAGCTTTCTAGTTCACGTCTCTCATGCATGCCTCTGGACAGAGACACTGAGACATTTGAGCTTGAGCACAGCATGGCGGATTCCTGCCTCAGTATCTGTACACAAAGGCATCTCCAAACCACACAGTATGCTGCGTGGTGGATTTATCTTTTGCTGGTACAGACCAAAAAAAAAAAGTTTCTGGGCTATATGCTGCTTGTTGGAGGCATAAACTCTTGGCGGTGAGCATGGCTCCCAGAGCTGGCAGTAAATGTATCTTTGCCATGTTGGGAAACTGAATGAGGCAGAGTCAACAGCCAAAGCCATTGTGCAGCTTAGCAGTTTAAATCTCTGCTGATCAGAAAAGGATTATAGATACACAATAAGACAGATTCAGATGGAATAAACCTCTAAATGGTTTACAGTGTGTGCAAAAATGTACATAGGCTTGGAAGAGAGAGGAAAATGAGTATAGGCAGTTATATAAGAAAATAGTTTTAAAAACAAAGTCTTTAAAAAGACAATAAAAGTAATATAAAAGAAATGGTCAGTAAAGATGGAATATACACAGAGAGTCTGACTTATGTATATTGTATTTTCCTTAAATTTTTTGACTGTTAGTGAGCTAACTGCGAAAAGACATTTGATTGTAAAGGTTGCTAAATTAAACCAATATAGATATTTTAAAGGTATTTTGACTTCAAAATTTGGATCTAAAGATATGTTGCTCCTTTGTAAAGGAGGCTCTGCTTTTGCTTACACAGGAAGCAAAAGGCTATGAATTTGTTCCAGGTTAAGATGGATTAGATTTGATCAAGTGAGACCTCCTGAACCTTGACAGATCATCTTTATCAAAAAAGATTATAGTGGGTCTTCCTAGGACTTGACCATTGTCTTAAATTTTCTCGGGATCCCCATAAGATTGACAGCACCTCCAATCAGCAGGATGTAGTATGAAAAGCTACGCCCAAATTCCCAAAATATTGTTTGTAAATGTTTATTTTTATTTAAAGGAGCTTGATTATAAATGTAATCTCTTTCTGAAGAAAAAAAGGGGATTTAGATAGTATAGGATAAAGGGGTAGATTATTGAATCTACTTTTAAAAAGCAGCACCTTGTTTGAAATATTTTACATTGACATGGATTTTGGTTTAATGATACAAATTTAAAGTTAATTTTGTTATACTGTGTGTATATTTCTACTCTTGTTTAAAGTATTATGTTTATGTAACTCATTTAAAATTGTAATGTATCATTAAGAAATACAGATTAATAGTTAGCCATCTATGATAATCAAACTTAGTTAAGTTTGTTATGTTAGTTAAATTTTTTAGGTATACATAGATATGTTTCAATTAGGTAGATAATCTTCAAACACTTCAAAGACCTACAGAATATGGCATTTAAAATGTTTTAAAAACTGTGACTTTTTGGACAGTGAGACATGTCTGCTCATGGCAGCACCAGTTACTTCAAAGAGGATGATGGGCATCCAAAAAACTCGTTATGGAGTTTGTTATCTTTGTGGCAAAACATAGCCACTGGGAAAAAAAGTGCTCTTGCTTTGACTGTTTGATAAGATGCTGTATAAACTGGACATGCTGGTCCCATAGGAAGGTGACCACTGAACTTTGCCAAAAGAGGATGAGATGGTCCTACAGGTTCCTGCTTCTCAGAGGAGATTGCCAAACATTCTGCAAGACATAGGGAGAAGCGACTGATAAATTTTGCCAAAATGGGTGAACAGTTCTTCAAATTTCCTGCTTCACTGAAAAATCTTCCAGATACTCTAGTCCTATAGGCTGAAGATGGATACCCCAATGTTACATAAAAACTTTGAGTGACTGTCCAGGCAGCTGGATGTCTCTTGTCATTTCTAGAGTTATGGAAGTTGCTTGCAATGGACTTCCTGTTTACTTGGGTAATATTATATCCTTCTGGGGTCTTTGATGGGGATGAAGACTAGATAGTTATAGTTATCATTTTCTTTAATCATGATAAAAGGTAAATTAGATATAAAACTTTAGGCTCACATAGGTAGAAGAGATGATAAAATATTTTCTTTAATTTTGCCAAACACAAATAGACTAGATATTATAACTGTAATTCTTGCTTGATAACTGTTTTGTTATGTATAATTTTACTATGTTAAAACTAAAACCTTTTTTCATTAGACAGAAAAGGGGAAATGCTGTGGGATGTCTTTCTATATGCTGTGAATATATGTTGTTCCCACTGGTTAATAAATAATATGCTTTGGCCTATGGCAGGGCGGTTTAAAGGCAGGTGGGAAATCCAAGCAGAGATACAGGAAAGAGACAGGTGGGAAGAGGGGACATCAGCCCACTGCCCAAGGAGCAACAAGATGCCAGCAGTCTAGTCATGCCATGGCCACGTGGCAACACAAAAATTAATAGAAATGGGTTGATTTAAGATGAAAGAGCCAGCTAGCAAGAAGTCTGAGCAATAGACCATACAGTTTGTAATTAATATAAGCTTCTGAGTGATTATTTTATAAATGGCTGCAAGAGCTTGGGTGGGAGAGATTTGTCTGGACCACAGGGATAGACAGGACTGAGAAACTTCTCCCCTATACACAAACTTATTATCTCATCTTACAAACAGATGTAGACATGGAAGAATGGTACCTGAGTACTTTGCTGCCTGGATTCTGGATCCCAGGCTGCCTATCCAATATCTATGTGGATAGATAACTAATGGTGGCACCACAATTTAGCCTCTAGATTAGTTCAAATTAGGAGAGACATAGTCAGGTCTCCCAACAGAAAGACATAAATGTGCTTTAATCATAATTTCTTTACAGTTGTTTCTAAAATTTATGTATCATGCTTGCTACATTATTTGATTCACAGACTTAAACCACTATATTTTATTCATAACTATATGTTTTATTATACTGTTGCATATTTGTCTTAATTAGTTCTGTTTCCTCATATTTTAGCTTTATTATTTACATTGCCAATCTCAGTTTTCTATTTAAACAGTTATTACTGTTTTGAACATCTCTGAGTTCTGACTACATTACACTTGGCATTTTAACCCAGTTTGCTATTCTATCCTTTTGTATGAGAGTTGAATTAATTTGCATTTGATATGTAAAGTAGTGATCCTGATTTACTACTTTTATGTTGTAATATAATAGCATTTTTAGCATACTCTTCTGTTCAGGGTTGTTATAAGCATTATGGAAAGCCTCACATGTCTTGGATTATCAAGCCAGTCCTTGCTGTTATGATGGATAAGCAGTAGCACAGTGCATAGGTCAAGTTTATTTACACTCTCAAGTTTCAGTTCTTCTGCTCCTTCCCACAGTTACTCTCATCTCCTCTAGCCTCAACCTAGAGTCAGCTCTTACTCCAGAATCTTCCTCATAGATACTTGCTTTTGATATCTTAACAACATGATCAGTTCTGTCTCCAGAACACTTGCCCACCTCTTCCAACATGAGCAACCACCACTCCCGTGGTTGTCAGTGCTCACCTTTTACACGGATTACTGGCTTTCCTAAGGAGATTTTTTTTTTTTTTTAGCAATTGAAAGTTTCCTGTAAGAAACTTCTCTCTGTGTCTTGTTGCCACGATGTTTTCCACACAGCCTTTGAAATGTACAAAATATGGTCATAGTGCCTTACCCTGCACAAAGTTTTCAAATAGTTTCTCCTTCTGTGTAGAATGAAATACAGAATCTACTAGTGATATATCTTACCAGATTGGTCTCATCATTAGAAGGAAACAACACTTTTTTCCTGAATGGAGAAAGCAGATTTGTGACTGCAACATATGTTTCTGGGAAAGGGAGTCTTCAGAGAAAAGTTCAAGCTCTCTAAAACTATGTGGTTCTTGTAAATGGAAAGAGAATATCCTCTAACAATGAAAAGATCCATTCTTTGACTAACTCAACTTCACATTTAATAGAGTAAATGGAAGAAGCTGACAAACACACAGAAAGGTGAGGTGATTATAGACAATTTTTCCAGCTGATGTATATCTAACTTGCCTTTCTTGTTTAACAATAAAACAGAAGGTGGAAAAATAAACAGTAAATACTCAGTAATCTTTTGACTAGAGAGTCTGCAGGACACAGTTTTTGGTAATTAATCTCAAGTAGAAATGGAATGGGGGATTTTAGAGAAAAAAAACTTTTTTCTTATAAAAATGTCACTTACTAGAAGCCAGTGAGTGGTGTAACTCCAACCCACTGGTTCTTCCATGGATTTGAATGTGTAGCTGGGAAGAATATAAGCTGCCTTGCAGTTGTTACACAGGCTTAGGCTACTCTGGCACTGACTATTCAGCAGCACCGTGGGACTTGCTGACCTTGAAATATCTTGTTATGTGAAAATAAACTGTCCTTAAACCATGTTTTCTGAGCAGCCAACATAGTTTTACTCTAATAAAAGACTAGAACTGAAATGAGGCTTAGATTTCATATGAGGATTTAAGTCTCCAATTACTGATCCCCTACTATATAACACACTCCAAGAATTTTATTGTGACTTTAAATTTTAATATTTTCACACACACACACACACACACACACACACACACACACACACACACACATGTTGTAAACTAGAAAACTCAAAAGGATTCACAATTTTCATTCCATCTATTCTCATTGATTTTGTAAGCTTCAGATAAACATTTTCAATTTAAATTATTTTTATTATCGCCGGGGGAGGGTGTGGCACACGCCTTTAATCCCAGCACTTGGGAGGCAGAGCCAGGCGGATCGCTGTGAGTTCGAGGCCAGCCTGGGCTACAGAGTGAGTTCCAGGAAAGGTGCAGAGCTACACAGAAAAACCCTGTCTCGAAAAACCAAAAAAAAAAAAAAAAACCAAACAAACAACAA